CAATACGCCTTATTCATTACGGTCAATAGGTTTACCACTCCTGAACAAAATCAAACGAAAACTATGATGACTTTTGAACAAATCCACTTTTCTTTTGGTTTTGAATTTTAATTAGATTCAATGATAATCAAACCAAGACTACAAAGTATGCCAAGAAACCTACTTCATGTAAATAATTTTCATTTTTCATAAACGAATTGAACTGAAAATCATTTTGTCAACAGTAAACTTAAATCAAATATTTCTGAGATCAAAATAGATCAAACCTTTGTAAGTCTGACTAGTTCATGACAGGCTTTGGATTCTTCGAATCTATGTGTACCTAATATGTGTTTGTATTTTGGTCCAGTCTCAGAGATGTCTATCGTAACTAGAAATCTACTGCTGTTGCACCACAGACATATTCGAACAATGTGTCAAATTTCAAATTTGCAACTTCACAAAACAAGAATTGTTGTTGTTAATTCATGATATTCATCGAGTCTCAGAATGTTACATTTATAGATACTGAAACTCGGTGCAAATTCATTCAGTTTTGTGGTTTTCTTCAACAAAAAGCTGTCACCATTGCACGGCGGTGATTATTTTAGAAAATCTGCCACAGTCGAGATGGATATCTTTGTTGGGTCTGTCTATCGTTCTTTTTATATGCTAATATAATGATGGTATTTGAATAGAAATACAAAACTTTCTTAATAAACAACAAATAAGTAAGTCATTTCTATGACTTATTTAAACGAAACTTTTGATAATATGATACACTATGAAAGTATCACTAGACGATTGGCAAATATAAAATATCAATATTCTTAAAAAAAAAACAAGTCTATTATATATTAAGAACATTTATATAATGGATTTGATGGAACTAATTGAAGAGGACATTTCAACATTAAATATTTCACAATAAGACTAATATTAATCAGAGAACCAATAGAACTATTGACTCATTTACATATAATAACAATAATAAGTGTTTAAAAAACAGTGAAGATTAAGTTAATGAAATGGACAAATAAACTCAATAAATATATAAACAATTAAAAAAATATGGTTATAAAAAAATGATTAGTCATGCTTCTATACAGTTGACATTAAACTAATTCTTTGTTCCACCATATCTTTTAATCCCTACATCTTTCACCGACAAAAAAAGAAAGAGTTTTTTTTTAGATTTAAAACAAATTATTATCAACAGATGGCCTGTGACAGACTTGAAAATCACTAGCTATGCGTATCTCTGGTGCACAGACCCAGAAACATACTTACACGTTCTAAATGCTACTCTATGGACAAAATATGTAATATTAAGCATTCTTTTAAAGCGAATATAAACAAATGTCTCATTCATCTTATTCATTAAACCTTGAAAGTCGAGAATGTTTTTTTGATGATGATAAAAAAAATAGACCGCTAAAATAGAGATTATGGACACTCAGTATGATTATATTATAGTTAAACTTACTTGAGACAATATTTTTTTCTTACAAATAATTATGTTTATCTATTTTATACAATACTAAACAACAAGTGAATAAAATATTTGCAATTTTTTAATACTTCTGTACTTTTCATTTCATTAGAGTATTATCATCTCAGAATTAAAGTGAAATCAGTAACTTCACCACAGAAGGAATGACATTTTTCGGTAATCGTGAATCTTTGATGATTGAAGAGACGTGCGGCCATCGTTTGATCCAACTTCGCAATAATTCTAAGAAGGGCTGAAAGTAGCCATGACTTTGCCGACATAATACTTCAAACAGCTTCTCCATTACTCACGGATCGATAGAATATTTAATTTTGCTATGACCGAATGTTTCTTCCAGGAGCTATTTTCTCTTAATGATACTGCAATGAGCCAGCAGATCAATTAAAAAATAATCGAACAGTTTCATCATATAGCTTAACGTTGTGCCAAGCGATGTCACTAAAAAAAAGGCAGAGTAATTATGAGTAAACAATGTTTTTGCAGTAAAATATCAATTCGTCTGAAAATATACTGGGTTCACTATATCTTGCTGCGTAGAAATAAATCATTCATAAGAAAAACACTAAGCAATGTTTCATTTTGTCAGATTTTAATTCGAATTCGTCCAATAATTTTATCAAAAAAAAAAAAAAAAAAACAGAAAAAATTTGTAAAAGTGTCATTGTCAACTCTATTCTTATCAGCAATAACATGAGAAAAATAATAATTTAAATGAAATAGTGAGTAATTGAAAATCTTCAATATAATATCAAACCATATTTACTATAGCTACGTGTTATCTTTAGTACTCTAAAATATCTATTGTAAAGACCAGATCTCAACTACCATAGGTACTAAAAGTCTGAAGATTTGTATGCATAAAATCCACCAAGAATGTAGATCAGAGGTACCAGCTTGCCCCATTTGCTTAAACATAATAGGAATAATAATGGATGGTAATAGATAGCACTTCTTTTTCCTTTGAACTTTATACTATTGAAAAGAAATAGTTTCATAGATCAACCGGTCTTTCATTATTTACGTTTATGTTCCAGGTATTCATTCTATTCATTTCATCGAAATTCATAAACCTTTACTAGAATGATGGCCATTTCACTGTGACTATACAGAGGAAAAAAACTCCCTGATGCCTTTGTGGAACGTAACTCTTGCCCGTAGTTGAACATTATTGCCAACGGGTCTCAAAAAAAGAACCTTCTCGTAAAGGGTAACGATACGCCAATAATTATCTCGTTGTAGAAGGAGCTCAAAGAATATCAACAAGTAGTGATGTATTTGATAAAAGGTAACAGAAAGTATAATAAATAGGTTTTTCAGGTTAAATGGTTTGAAGCAAAAATAGGTACCATCCGTCATAATTCTCGTTATATTTAAACTATTGAGGTGACCTCGTACCTCCTACCAGAGATGGAACCGGTCTGAAATTTTCACAACCGGTACCGGTACCGGTCTGAAAAGTTCAGACCGGACCGGACCGACCGGTCTACCGGCGATCGACCGGTCTACCGGCAGACCGGCCGGTCGAAAGCTCGTACCGGTACATACCGACTGATCCGACATTTCTTTTGTAATTCCATGGAACAAAAAAAAGAGTAATAATGATATAAAAGTGATCATGTAAAATCCTAAAGACATGATAATATTCGAACAAATAAGAAATTTTCATATAACTATATATAATAAAAGCAGGACAGTAAACTAGACAGACCAGTCATCGACCGGCAGACCGGCAATCGACCGGTAGACCGGCAATCGACCGGTAGACCGGTAATGAACCGGTCTACCGGCAGTCGACCGGTCTAAAACTCGTACCGATACCGGACCGGACCGCATCGGACCGGCCGGTAACCGGTACCGGTTCCATCTCTGCCTCCGACTCACATCTTCGGTAGAATATGTGCACATAAATTTCCAAATCCTCTACATTTATGGTAGATGAAATCTGTTGACGGAACTGTTGTCCCCCACTGTAGATCTCGCAGCATTCGAGATATTCATTCACGATCATTATTTTTTATTTTAGAATTAAATTTAAAAAAAAAACTTCTTGAATCTTCTATTCTCATCATGATCAATTTTATACTGTATGACTCGATCATTTCATGAAAATTTTTAATTCACCATTGTATGTTAATTTATTTTTCTTTTATTTTTTGTTTCTTGTTTCAAATAAATTGAATATTCAATTATGGATTTTTAATTTGACATGTTTGAATGAATAATTTCAATTTTTATTAGTTTTATTATTTATTTTTCTACTTGAAAAAGACAATAGTCAAGTTGAATACTTGAAAAATTTATTGAAAATTAATCAAATTCGAAGATTTTATTCCATGTTATATATGTAGATAAACCTTGATTCTTGCTCGTCTTATGTATTTGTTTATTTGTGTGTGTAAGAAAACTTCATTCAAAGAGTTAGATGAGACACGCACACACAGACACAGAGAGAGAGAGAGAGAGAAAAAAAAAAGAAGATACAAACACATTTGTTTTTGAGAAAAGAAGAACGAGAGAAAGAGAAAAAAAAACGAGAACGCGCGAGCGAGCAAAAAGAAAGCGAAAAAAGAAAAAAAGAGGACATATGTGTGTATATACGCGTATTAAAAAGAAGAACAAAAGAAAAGAAAAAAATTCAAATTAGACAGTGCTTGATGACGTGCAAATTTCGTTTTTTTTATTATTATTTTCTTTTCAGAATACAAAAGCGAGAGAGAGAGAAAGAGAAATAAAAATTTTGGTTGTTTCGGTCCCATCACGGTCGTTGATAGATCACAAAACAGCCCGATGACTATTGCCGCTAAGATGAGAAAAGAAAAAAAAAAGGCACTCAGGCCGAGATTCAAATCGTATGGTTTTTTTTCTCATTGGGGTTATAATGGATAGATAGTAGCAGAACAAAAAGAAAAAAAGAGAATAGAATGAATATTGTTGTGTTGACGGTCACTGTTGGCACGCACACACGCGCGAAAGAAAAAAAACAAGCACGACTAACCTACAGACAGACTGTACACGACGAGCATAGAGTTTGTTTAAAGGTATGAAATAGGAAGGATAGGAACGAATTTTTTTTGAGCTCAAGACAATGATGACAACAACATCAAGAAATATGAAGAAGAACATTAACAACAACAGAACGACATAGACAGCACCAAACAATTTCGACGTGCGCGTCTTAGGTGTTTTGTTTGTTCGTTCTTCAAAAAGAAAAAGAGGATAAGGACAATGAATTAGGATATTAAAAATTGAGCGGCGCGCGCGTTTGGGAAAATGGAACACAAAAAAAGAGAAAAGAAAAGAAACACCAAGCTTATTTTGCTAATAAAATAAATATATATGAAGACAAGAAAATTCTTGCGAAATTCGCAAAAAAAAGAAAGAAAAAAAAAATGATAAAAACGAGAGATACATTTCAAAATACAAGCACACACACACACAGATTTACGAGATGAGAATTAAACGAGAGCAAAAAAGAAAAAAAAAAGAGAAACGAGCGAGAGACAGGGAATCACAGTAATTCGTACTGTCTCAAGTGCATACGTTGAATGATGTCGCGACAATCATTGAATACTCGACGAATATTTTCTGTATCTACCGCACATGTAAAATGCGGATAACAATAATGACGATTTTCACCGGTAGCCGTGCTGACTCGCTAAATACAAACAATTTCATATATACAAAACGAATATATTTCATTTATTGATTTTTACCAGAAATTCATCGCGGATAAAATATTTAGCTCGAGTTACTTCAGGATCTTCATCCGGCTCCGCTTTGTCTAAATAGAACAAAGAAAAAAAATTTTTAAATTTTTTGTTTTCAAATTATTTCTTGTTAATTTTAATGGGCGTTAATTTTAAATAATATAAAAAAAACAACAACAAAACAAAACAATAAATATCTTTTATGTATTCTTACTGTATTTTTGTACAGAGAGTTCTGTTAAAATAAAATAAATGAAAAAGAAAAAAAAAGTAATTGTGTTTTTGTTTTGAGTTGTATTTTTCTTTTTTATTGATTTTTTAATTTACCTGGTTCGCCTTGTGAAACAACATATCGAGCAAATTCAGGAAAATAATCTTCAAGTCGACGACCACTTTTGATTTTTTCAGCTAAAAGATCTTGTTTATTAAGAAACAATATAACAGATATTGTCCGTAGCCATCTAATTACAAAAATAAAACAAATATTATTTTAATTTTAATAGAATTCTTTTTTCTTTTTGTTTAAATAATATTACCGATTATTCCATATATTTTTAAAAAGTTCAAGTGATTCTCTTAGTCGATTTTCTCCTTCATCTTCAAAAAGCATCATATTAAAACTGTCACATGCTGTGACAAATATAATTGCAGTAACATCATTAAAACATTGTATCCATTTTCGTCGTTCTTCACGTTGTCCGCCCACATCAAACATACTATATATATACATATTAGTTGTATTTTTGTAAAACAAAAACAAAAGAACATAACGATACGTACTGGAAGCGCACGCGTTCAACGGTAAAGATAGTTTCGTAAATGCCAGATGTGAGCACACGACAACGAAGAATATCCTAGAAAATTTATTTTATTAAAACCTTGTTTATACCAAAAAAAAAAAGAATCGAACTACAAGTCTATATATAAGAAAATATGTTAGTCGACTAAATAAGATAATTCCATGATTTGTCATCCTTAAATTAATGTTGATAAAAAATTTATATAAAGAATCATTTAACATTAGTACTACACATATGAACAATTGCCCTTGTTTATCGAACAAAAATTTTTATCAATAAAAATAAATTTATAATGGCTTGTTATTTTACTATCATCTATGTAGTTCTTAATATACATATCATACTTGAAGGCTTACTTGAATCTATTTGAAATCAGCCGAAATCAGGGAAGTATCGAATTAAAACTACATATATATATGATGATATCGATAATTTATGAAATAACATAATTTTTATTTTTTAATATGAAATTTGAGAAAGTACTCTCAAAAAGTAATAATGAACATTCAAGATATGACTTTCGATATTCATATATATATTTCTATGAATCATTTAATTTCGTCTTTCGGAAATAAAATAACAAACCACTTATTTATTTTCTATCAATTAATTTATGAATAATTAGGCTAATAATTGTTAAATTCGAAATCATTATATTTTTTTTTCTCTCTACATTTTTTTTTAATTTTATACAACGATCAATTTATTTCTCTAAATTAAACTCTTTCGAAGGTCATCAACCTAAACAAAAAAAGAAAAAGAATCAAATCTTAAATGATAATATACCTGATCACTGGGCATATAGTTTGGTTGTTTAACTTCATGAACACGATCAAGAAAACTAAAAGACAAAAAAAAAAATGTAGAACATTTTTTTTTGTTTTCAAAACCACAAAAAAAAATCGATATTACTATTTAGCACAGTCGATAAGTTGATATTCATTCGATCGTTCGTAACAAGCTAGTATACCAGCATCATTCCAAAGTGTTGCTGCATGTTCAAAAAATTCTGGTGGATAATCAAACTCTAATTGATGTGCTGTTATTAGCATATATGTAGCACGCCATTGATCTTGTGGATGTTCAAGTGCAATAGGTGGATTTAATTTTTCCATAGCACGTAACATACTCTTGAAAAGAAAAAAAAAACGATTAACAAATAAAAACTCACAAGAAAAAAAATTAACATACGGTAAGTGAATCACGAATATTACGTTTAATATCAGGAATTTTATCGATTTTTTCTCTAGAAAAATCAATTAATAAAACTAATAGAAAAGATCGAATCTTACTGTGTAGTAAAAGGATTATGCAAAATTTTCATTTGTTTAACAACGGTTGATTTACCGGATTCACCAGCGCCTTGAAAAATTCAAAATAATTAAAACAAAAAAAATAATGAAATAAATTTCTACATACCCAAGAGAAGTAAACGATAAGTAGCTTTATAAATTTTTTCATCTTGTTTTAATTTTGCATTAATTTGTTTATTAATTTGTTCGCGTTTTTTCTCATCATCATTCTTCGGTGCAATACAACTCCAAAGTTTCGGCATTTTGATTTTTCGATTTAGTCTATCAACATTTTCTAATGAACAATTCGTCATCTGGAGCCATGCATACACGCATAGATGCGCGTCAATTAGAAATATTCTTTTTGTTGTTTTTGTTTTTTTTTTATCAAACAACAAAAGAAATTATGTCAAAATAATCTAAAATAAAATAAAATATAAAAAAAAAAAACTTTTATCAAAAAAAAAACTAATAAAAGATATGAAATCAAATATTCATCAATAGACGTTCTTTTTTACAAGCATACACAACCACATATAATGTATAAAATACGAAAATTTATGACAAGCTAAGATTAGCAAATGTGCCCAAAATAGCTCACTAGACATCTATGCACTTGCTAATGATAAAAACAATAAAGAAATAGAGTGAAGAAAAAAATAAGTTTTGTTTTCTTTATTTTAAAATCAATATAAAAAAACACGAAAAAAAAAAAAGATGATATTCACATTGTTATTAACAGAATTGAGGTGTTGTTGTTATTGTCATTAGAATTATTATTATTATATTATTATTATTGTTGTTTATTTGTATCGCGAACGAGCCATTGAAATTGACGATTGGTGGAAAGAAAGATGACATTTGATTGGTGAAAATCTTTAACCAATAAAGAAAAATAAGGGAGAAATTTATTCAAATTTTTTTAAAAATTGAACGTTGAATTGTTTCAAATGTAAGTTTTTTTTTCTCGGTTTTTAATAATAGTAATTTATAATAGATTAATTGATATAATAAATAAAAAAGAATTTCTTAAATACAAATAAAATGATACATGAAGTTCTCGTCCTTTTCAAAGTAAAACTTTGTCGACTATTGTATGAAGAACGATACATCAAATCAAAGACTTCCTTTAGTCAATTAAGAGATACTCCATGAAAATATCGAGGACAACATGAGTATATAAGGTATTGGTCAAAATTGTAATTTTTAGTTCATTTCGATATTTTAGAGAAAACTTAATCTTGATCGATTTTTCAAAACCATCAAGAAAATAATGATTAATTGTTTCATAAGTGATTTTTTGAAATCCAGTGATACTAAGCTGAATTTTTGATACATTATGCAAATTTTAATTATCTATAATAGACAGGTACATAGTCTCTAGAAAAATGATTTCGAATACTATTCAGTATAGTTTATTCATGTATATTTTCATCTTGGAGAAACGAGGACTTTTTCTTGCTTAAAATTATATAGATAGTTATTTTGACAAACTAAAAATAAAGTATGGAAAACTGATTACACTCATATAGTTGAAGTTGGTTATCTAGTAGGATATAGAGCATCCTTCTGATGAAGAAGTAGAGAGTCTATGGTAAATGTGCAGTTTATTAATATGGATGGTTATTATGTGATTTCATAAAGAAAATCTTTTTTCGAAAGAACTGTCTGTATAATTCTAGTTAGGATAAAAAAGTCCTGATTTCTCCAAGATGAAAATAGATATGAATGAACGATATTGAAAAGTACCTGAGATCATTTTTCTTGAGGCTGTTTATCGGTCTATTGATAGTATAAGCTTCATATTACCTCGAAAGTTACCTAACATATTAAAAATTTACCTCGATGCTATTTGGCTTCCAAAAATGGCAGTAGCTATACTGTCAATAAACAGATATTATTGACTGATCGATTGCGACCTTTTCCACTTGTATTGACTCTGTAAATAAATAACATATAATATTNCTTCAAATTATATCCACAGATATTTTGACAAACTAAAAATAAAGTATGGAAAACTGATTACACTCATATAGTTGAAGTTGGTTATCTAGTAGGATATAGAGCATCCTTTTGATGAAGAAGTAGAGAGTCTATGGTAAATGTGCAGTTTATTAATATGGATGGTTATTATCTGATTTCGTAAAAAAAAAATCTTTTTTCGAAAGAACTGTCTGTATAATTCTAGTTAGGATAAAAAAGTCCTGATTTCTCCAAGATGAAAATAGATATGAATGAACGATATTGAAAAGTACCTGAGATCATTTTTCTTGAGGCTGTTTATCGGTCTATTGATAGTGTAAGCTTCATATTACCTCGAAAGTTACCTAACATATTAAAAATTTACCTCGATGCTATTTGGCTTCCAAAAATGGCAGTAGCTATACTGTCAATAAACAGATATTATTGACTGATCGATTGCGACCTTTTCCACTTGTATTGACTCTGTAAATAAATAACATATAATATTTTCAATAGCTCATTTTTTTTTTTTGAGTTGTTGATGATCTTTATTTTGATTTATTGCATCAAAAAATTTTCGCCAGTACCTTGTTTTTTTTTTATTCTTTATGGATACACTCTTCTAAGGCTTCGTTTTTTCTCTAAAATCGATTTTCGATACAGTGCATCAAGTTTCTCAAAATCTTAGGCAATGTTTTTCTAGAAAATGTATGATTGATTTGATATCGAGAATCGAACATAAACTTTCGTTCTATCATTCGAAAGATAATGAATCTATCTAACTAACGAACATTATCGAAAAGAAATATGCTCACAATGTACCAGTATGGTTATATTACAAACTAATTAAAAATTCATCTAGAGTCTCTTGTGAAACGGCCTTCGAGTTACATCTAGAACCGTAAATGCAATAGCGCTGATAATTTTCCTATGAATATGGTATTGTTTTTTTTTTTTCTCAGAAGAACTCATCATGATTTCTGAAGAAATCTTCATATTGTGCTCTATATAGAATCTGAATTCAAAAACAATTTTCAAATTGTGAATGTTCTTTAGAAAGAAAATAATCATAACTATTGAAATCTATTTATTTTTTAGAAATGTCATCAAATTTGTTTTACGATAGTGATGACGAACGTGATAGTTTTGATACGGAACATCGAGAAATTGAATCGTTCCAAAAAATTTTTTTATCAGCATCTATAGAAAGTAGTGAAGATGATGAAGAAGGTATAATTGATGGTACTAAAATTCCATCATCAACAAAACTTAAAAGTCGTGCTCGTCATTCATTTTTGGATATATCAATATTATCATCATCATCTGATCAAGAACAACAAATTGATGATAATAATATTGAAGAAAATCCGTTTGATATTATTTCAAAATCTATTGATATTGAAAATATAATACCAAAAAAAACGAAAAAAAGTCTTGGTGTATCAAAATCAAAAATTCATCTTGATACAACAGATATTTATGATCAAGAAGAAGACAGTAATCATAGTCGAAATTCATTTATAAATAAAATTGGTAAAATTAATATATTTGATTTTTATAGTTGATTAAAATTTATTTTTATTTATATAAACTAGACAATGATGATATACAATCAAGTAAAACGAAAACAAATAATAAAGTGAGATAAATAAATTGAAATCTACATATATTTACTTATTGGATAATTCTTTTTTTTAAATTTAGTTTAAAGCTCGAAAACCAACAAAAACAGCTGTTTTAGAAACAGAACGAAAAATGCAACAACTAAGTCGTTGTAAGACAGAAGTTATTTATATATTTTTTTGTTTTTCGAATTCAGAGAAAGTTTGTTCAAACGGATAAGATCTATAATCCAAAAACATAAAAGAGACTTCGTTCTTTTTCCAAATAATTCGAAAAAAGATAAATTTTTGTGAATTTTTTTTTTTCGTATTTCGAAATAATTAAAATATTAACGGCATAGAAATTTAATCATATAGTTCTTTGAACAATCGAAACTTAGCTTTTTGAACTACATAAACAAAATCAAAAATATTCTGACATTAGTAAACTGTAATTATTTTTTCGAGAAAAGTATTTAGTATTCAACAGAGTAGTTCTCCAACTATCGTTATCCTATTGTTGCGAAGATACTACAATTTTACAGTATTTTTATTAAATGAATGTTTTGGTAACAGAAAATTTGATATTCAAATTTCGACTTGAAATTTTGAATAGAGACAGATCTTAACTAGGCTTGTACCGAGCTCGAGCTCGGTCCGCTCGATTTCATAAATTCTATCTTCTCATAAGTATTTTATGTGACTTTTTTCTGCTCGCATCAATAGCAATGCGACATGGACTGATTGGAAAGAGTTATGGGAAGAAAACTAAATAAAAATACAAGAACATTTGCAGAGGATGTCTTTTACATCACTCATGTAAATTGACATATTTAATATTCTTATTTCAGAATAGAAGCAAATCGAAAGACTTGAAATGACTCTCATTAAGGTCTGTCTCTATGCGAAGTTTTAAGTCAAACTGTGAAAATCAGTTATTCTGTTATAATGGGATTTGTTTTTAAAATATGTCGTAAAAATGTAGTATCTTCGTAGGAATAACCTAGGGACATAAATTCTTCTCAAGATATTCATACCAATAGAAACCAAAATCCTTTTAGGATTTTTATTAGAACATTATGTAGTATCTGTAGGCAAAAGAAAAATTATTAAAATTGGGAGGAAGGAAGCTGAAGAGATTCTCTCATTAGAAATAACAAAATTTTAAGTAAAATATTTCTTTAAGCTGAACATTTGGTATTACCGACATTTGTACCAAAGCCATTAGAAACATGGCATGCATTAGAAAAACGATCTCGACAAGAATTAATGAATGAAATTCGTTCAAAGTAATGAAAATATTTCTTAGAATATCATTTATTTGTTTGATTTTTATTTCTTTTAGAAATCCTTCATTTACTCCACAAGATCCTGAATTACCTGAATTACCAGTTGTTAATATTGAATCTACAGTTATGTCAACACTTGCTGATTTAACAAAATTAATCGATGATAAACCATCTAAATCATCAAATACATTAGATAAACTTAGTCGATTTTTAAATCCTGATATATTAAAAAAGAAACCAACAATGTCAAATATTATGAAAGAATCAAATACAATGATTGATTTAACTGATACAAAAAAAACACCAAGCCAGTAAGTGAAATAATTATTATTTAAAATTTTTTTTTTTTTTGTTTTCATTATTTATTTTAGTCCGAGTGTTAAATCAACAATCAATATTTCACTTGGTAAAATATTTAAATGAAAAATTTTTTGCAAATTTTTTTACTTATAATTATTAGATTGTATTAAATCTCCATCATCGAGTAAAAAATTATTTGAAATGCAAAAACAACTTGGTATACGCATGCGAGCTAAACGAGCAGCTATGTTGGCTGAAAATCCTACAAATATACCAAATAAAGATGATGATGATGATGATGATGATAATAACGATAACGAAGAAGAAGAAGAAGAAGATAAGGAAATGAATGAAGATTCAACGGATTCAAACAATGAAAGTAATGATGCTAATTCAGAAATAATATCAAATATGGATAAAGAAAATGTAAAACTACAAAATTTAAAAAAAAATACTTAATTTAAAAGTTTCTATCTTAAGGATAATTTACAAGTCGATGAAGAGACAAGAGATATTATAAGTAAGTAGCAACCTTCCCTCTTCTTCGCACAGAATAAAAGCCCAGTCCTAAGTTTACAATATTTTTCCTCATAGGGATTATATACAGGTCAGAAAGAAAATTATGTAAATTAATAAACACTTCTAAAAAACAAGTGCTAGTATGAGATGCTATAGTATTAATTATTGTAACATTTATAAGGTTTGAACCATGCGTCTCCAAAACAAAAAGGATGGATCTCATCCTGTAATCCAAGATTTGCTTTATTTTTCTCTTACAATAATTAATATTAATCTCGTTGTGTATCTGAACGATGCATTAACTTCCATGCCAAAATCATCTAATAGAACTATTTTATTAGATATATAATATAAATTGTCTATTAAAATTTTTCAAAACTTGATAATTTTTCATACTGTCGATTTCTTTGCATGGGATCAGATGAGAACTGGTAGTCAGTCCTTGACTCCAAGAAAACTATGATAGCTATTCTGAAAGCTGTCAGACAACTTGAAAATGCCAGTTTATTAATTTTTAAGAACTTTTGTGCTTGGACGTTAATAAAATTCTAGCTGCAATATAATAGAAAAGTTGATTGAAATGAACGCTCATATTCAAGGTTATGACTTTCAAAACAGACTAGACACCCTGTGCGAGAAGAGGTCTAATCTAAGAAGAACTAATATGCTGTGTTTAGGTGACGATGAAGATATTGAAGAAGAAGAAGTGGAAGAAAAAGAAAATTCTAATCCATCTGTTGATCCAAATCGACCTTCATTAAAGGTAATTTATTATGAAAAAAAAGAAAAAGAATTTTTTTTATATCATTGATATATAGACTATTCTTACACGATTGGAATCATCTGATGAATCGGTACAAATACAACCAGCGTAAGTAAATTATTTAAAATCCAGTCTCATACTTTAACGTATTTTCTATGAAATAACAGAGATCCTTAGTATCTTCAAGAATATTTCAGTCAATTAACACATTTTAATTTCAGACATGTTATAATGAAGTCCAAGTTTTCTCACATAAAACAAACTCAATCTAAAATAATCACGAAAAGTCACAGTATCTAGTTTTGAATCTTTTTGCTTGATATTTTTTCTATAAACAGAGTTCGACAAACCCTGATCATAAGCACCAACTCGAAGTCGATCGGTCTTAATGCATCAGGTTAGAATAGAAACACTATTTTTCCCTTGGATCGTAAACTAGGACTTTCCTGACACTTTCTGGTTTGGTATTATTTTGAAATTGTTGATATTCATTGTTTTATTGACGAATAAAGATACACATGTTTTTACTGTGATTCTAAGGCTCAATGATGTTTTCATTATGTAGGATAGTCTTCGACTGAATCTCCATTCCATCAATAACTATAATCATAAAACTTTCGGAGAATATTTACTTAGAGTAGACAACTTACTAGAGAAAATATCAGAACTACAAGTTCCTATTTGATAAGTCTCATCAACTCTTATGCTATCAATATCCAAAGATAATTTTCTTTAATGAAGCAAACTACAATCATTTAAGATGATTTTTTTCTTGATGATAGAATTAGTATTGGCGGTTCAAACAATATCCTTGTTTAAATAAAAAAATCTATGCCTATCTTCTAACTTCTCTTCATGAAGCCGATCAACTTCTAATTGTTACTTAAGTTCAAGTCACGAAAGTTTTATTGATAATTATTTATCTAGAGAACAAAATGGTCGAACTGAATGGTTTAATTCTTCACATCCAGTTCAATTTGATTCTGAACTTGAAATGCTTTGTTCTGGTGCATTTGGTGGAGAAAATATGTATGTATTTGAGCGTTTTTCTCAGGAAAACTATTAATATTTTGATTCTATTCAAGCATTCCTCCATCGCAAAATTGCAAAAGTGTTGAACCGATAGCTTTTTCTCCATTACCGATAACACAAATTGAAGAAGAAGAACCGGATATTGAAGTACGACGTACAAAAGTTCGACAATTGATTGATGATGATGATGACGATGAAGATGAAAATGGTTCAAATAAACCATTGAGTAGTGGAAGTAATAATGTCGAGGAAAGCGAAGAAGAAAACGAAGAAGAAGAAGAACAACAACAACAGCCAGAAGAAGATCTAGAAGACAATGAAGAATTAGTTGATTATAAAAAACAACTATTTGAAATGGAAGCTGAAGAATCAGGTTTGAAAATTGAAGATATTCCTTTTATATTTTTTAAGAGTTAACTTTATTGTTTTTTGTTTTTTTAGGAAGTGAAGTTGATGAAAAAGAAAAAGATAAAGATAAAGATGATGAAAGTGACAGTGATGAAGATGAAGAACCAGATGAAGAATTACAACATTTTATTGATACAGCAGCTATTGAAATAGATGAAGATGAAGCCGATAATATGGCTAAAGTACATTTGTAAGTGATAGATTTCATCTTAATTTCTAATCTATAACAACAAAATTTCGCTTAGAAAAATCAAAGCTAAAGAAGATGAACAACAATTAAAATTACTTAAAGAACAATATCTTGATTTTGATGGTGACGATGATGGAAGAAGAATAAAAATTTCAAAAGGTACAAAAAAAATTTTTTTTTAATAACAATAGAGAAATTCAGTCGTTTTCTTTTTTTAGTACCGATAGATGATGATGATAATAATGATGAAGATGATGATCCTGATTATAATAGTGAAGCAGGAGAAGAAGACGAAGATGATGATGAAGACGATGATCCAATAAATTTAAAAGATCGAATGAGTGAATTGGAACGACAACGTTCACTACAAGATAATCAAGTAAAACAAAAAATTAATAAATAAGTTTAAAAAAAACGAAATCTTTATTTTAGGCCGAAGAACTTCATCTTAATGAAGATTTAGATAGTATCGGTCAAAATAGTTCTATGTTTCAAAAAGGTCTTGCACTTAAGCAGAAAAAACTTCAAAGTAAGCCGCAGAATTTTGACTTGATAATCATATTTACTACATTTTCACCTCTAATTAAGAGAAATAGGAAGTTCGTTTGGCAATTAACTGTGAATTGAGAACCAAGCTAATTGAAAATTATCTTAGGCTATATAGAGGGCGGTATAAAATTCATCCGACAGTCTCTAATTGCGAATAACTTTTGATAGGAATAACACGGTAAATTGTGACTTTCATCGTTCAAAACGGGTAGTTTTGTCACTGAATGATTCTCTATGTTATGCTTAGAAAAATTGGTTCGAGAACAAAGATTGTTGGATTAATTTTGGACCAGCCTGTATATAATGAGTAATAACATAGCCAGGAGAAAAAGTTGTAGAAGATTGATTTCTCTCTAGTTCTCCTTTAATTATGTCGTTAATAATAAGACCATCAACTATGTTTTGGAGAAAAGAATGATTAGTAAACAAAATATTTTGAAAACTCTTTCTACATAACGATATCGAATAAACTTTAATTCAAATAGTTGTCTACTTAATAAAATCATTTATTATATAGAAAGATTTGATAAATAATAGTTTACCTTAACTTATCCATTCACAGAAGAAAGTTTTTCTGAGAATCTCTTGTTTCTTAAGCGAAGAATTGTTATTAAATTTATATTTTGTTTACCTCTTGGCCAACCAAGGTAGATTAAATAGGTCAATGGTGAGTGTAGAAACATAATTTAATTTTCATTCTTTTGACTGAATCAATAGGCTTATAATTGAGAAGGTCTAAAAGAGTTCATGTTTATGGGTCTTTCTTTTTGATATATGATGATTTTAGTGAGTTTTAATAAAATAAATACCGTTGTCGCCGTCAGATTACCTTCAAGCTCGACCGGCATCTTTTTTATAATTAGTTTCTCGATCATTCTCATAGATATATTTCAATTGTTATTTAAATCTAATTTTAGGTACAACTACAACACATATTGAATCAACTACTCAAATAATAACCGATTCGAATACTAAAAAAATGAATCAAACTCGTTCTGTCACTCTTAGTTCTGTTCTATTAGCTAAACGATTTAGTTCAACACTTTTAGCACCAGTTCATAGAAATAATACAACGGTAGCTAATCTAAATAATACCGATGAAACAACAATAACAACAAAAAAACAACATAATCCTCGACGACATGTTTTTTCAACAAATTTAACAACAGTTGGTGCAAATGAAAATCAAAATCCGGTCCAATCAACAACACCAGCTGGTGAAAAAGTAAAAGATGTTTTTTAAAAATTTCTATATTCAATATAATTGATTATTTTAATTTTAGCGAGCAAATTCAGCTGATAAATCTCCGAAAACTAATATTAAAAGATTTAAACAATCAACAACAATTGCAACAAAAACAAGTGAATCTTCAACCAGTGTATTTTCTGCTTTAGCATTTTCGAATACACGTCATTAAAAATACCAAAAATCAATATCTAATTCTCAAAAGTTTGCATGACTGGTCAGATTTATTTTCTATGTAATTAAATTCTATATCTATCAAAACTTATTCTTTTATATGTATGTTTATGAAGAAATCTTTATGTATTTACTTGTATTGCTCAAAAAATTTTTTTTTTTCTTCTTTTCTTTTTTGCTGAACTTACTTAACTTTGTGTGTTGTTTCTTCTATATGCATGTTCTTTTCTTTCACACGGTGAACAAAACCGATAGAAATTAGTCAGATAGATAAAATAAAAACTGATTCAGATTGAAGAAAAAAAAACTGCATTAGTCATTATTTGTAATGTAATCCGATAACAATTTACAAAGACTTTAATCTAGAAGTCTCACAGAGTCTTTAGAAATCTCTTAAATATGATGTAATCCTTCATTTGAGAAAATAATGGTAAGAACTCAATTAAGGTAAAGCGAAGATATCTTACTGATCCACTGGCGAGTCTAGAAGCAAGGCGGCTCAGCAATCGCCACCTCCTTCACCTCTCCACTGCAACAAGAAGTAATAAAGAACTCTTTTCGAAGTTCTCCTTAATCAATAAGTGTTTGCAGAGAAGAACAAAAATTTTGGAGTCGAGGAGGTTGCCAAGAGATGTCAAACGTGATTGCTAATGTGTAATTTCAATGTTTAATAAAGCTTGCTGATGAGTAACAGTTATTGATTCAAAACATGCACTCGTCATTACTTTTATTTATTAATGATTGTTTCAAAAATAAACAAAAAATTAAAATATGCAAAAAAATACCTTTGTAACTTTACTTTTGAATAAGAACAATCTAAGTATTTGTCTAGAAGTTTTGAATGTTTTCTGAGAATGATTTGATCTTTCCACTCAATATTCTACAAAAAATCTAAACATATACTGGTAAAATGTGAACATTTCAAATCAAAATGTGTCCTCAAATAGCTAAATTTTTCAACAAAGAAGCAGGCTTAAAAGCAAAACAATATCAGGAACAAGGCTTATTGAATTATCTATGATGTATATATATTATAATCAGGGACCGTCATTAACTCGATTCCAAGAGAAAATCCAGAACTTCATAGAGGCCGAAAACGGCTTTTTAAGCTCTCGACCTTTGGTGTTTTTTTTGCTACAATACGTATTGATTGTCAATTACCACAAAACCCAGTTTTTTTTTCCGACCTTCAAATATAAAATATAGTCTATTGGCATTTCATATTGGAAAAAGACAAAAATTAACATAGGAAAATTGCATTCATATTTTTACAATCACGTTTAAATGTTGATTATTTCAAACAAGAAGAATAAATTCTTTATTTGCGTTTCATAATTTGCATTCTTATTAACATATAGATAGTAAATGTTGATCGTCTGTCGATAAAAGAAAATAAAACATTGTAGTCATTGAATCTCTGTTTAGTTGCCTGAGATATCACAAACAGTTTCACAAAAAAACAACCTACACAGGACAACATGTTGATGTTATATACTGATTTTTATAATGTTTTGTTCTTAAACAGATGTTAAGATGTGCGTATTTATAGACAGCTTCTCTCATACCCCAACAATGTTCAAGTTTCTATTTAATCAAATGAATATATTTGTGTGTATGGGATTGACTTATGAAACAACTGTTGAAGAGGTCTTTCAATGTCGATTTCATCTGTAACAGCGTATTTTTATTAGGAAAAGTTATTAAAAGAAAACTTCAAGATATGTCTACATTGTCATGTGTGTCATGCATCTTTCTGATTCTTCCGTAGCCGATAGAACGCATTCAAGAAAGCCACACGTATATTCACCAGAATATTACATAGCCTATACCTAACATTTCGATTTTTATGTTAATCTCAGACCATCTGGAAAAACTGGTTTTTCTCATACGAACTAGGTAAAAAATAAACCAATTTTTGTTCTAAAACTATACTTTTGGAAATCAAACACTTTTGAAGTGCAAGTTCATATGGACAAATTACATATTTTTCTCTTCCCTTTTCTTTTGTTGAGAAGTATGATGAAACGTTGAATCTTCTAAAATATTTATTTTACTTGAAAAATACATTATGTCAAAAATTATCAATCTTTGTATCATCTTAAAGAAAAATTGTCTTATGTTTATGATAATGTAAGTTTTATTAATTTCAACATGAAATAACATGCAAAAACTTTTTAGGATAGTCGTACTCTGTTAACTATTAATAATCGAATCATGGAATAGAAATGCAATGAAATGTCTCCTTACTAGTCATTTTCTATCTTTTTACGATTCCAACCACTTCACATTATACAGAAACGAATATCGATCTGTTTACTTCATTTGGCATGAATATCGCTGAACCAGTATGAATTTTTTTGCTTCTTTTTCGTCACTTGCCGTCTTCTTTTCGGTGATGTTTTATTGCTGCTATGTACAGTCCTCCTCATAAAGTGCTTATTTGATAAGACTTTTAAAAAGTCGTAAAAAAGAAGGCAAACACAGATAACAACGAAACATCAATATTTTACATGCTGTGGAAGTAAGATACCAATCATTCGACGAAAAAGCTGACCGTGTAAAACGCAAGAAATTCCCATCAACAGCAATATATTATCAAATTTACACAGAACATTAAATCTACAATTACTTGTTCGTGGTGAGTAAATTATTAGGAAGGTTCGAAAAACAAAAGATACGTTTCTGAACATTATATAATTAGCGCCAAGACATTGCAAATAGTCTACCTCTTTTTTCTTCCACTCTATTTGTCAATTTCAGTTATTAAAACGATAAGAAAACAAAGATTAATATAATATGCCTGCGAATTTAATGAGACTACGTATAAGACGGACACGGATACAATGGTAAACTTTTCGTGCGGAAAAGTGTGATATCAACGGAAAAGCTTCTGGTCACAATGCAATCTGCGCATATGAAGATCAAAGCCTGTCCGTCAGAGTGTGATACGCGGCAATTATGACCAACAGCTTTCAACTACAGCACAATTCCTAACATTAAGGACAGACAGCTTCGATTCACTTACTGATGTAACGGATTTAGAAGAACAACATTCAGTACCTACAGTGATGTGAAACATCAAGAGCCAAATAGTTCGAGCCACGAGCAATGCGTCAAACTGTTGACAAATAGCTTCGTCCGAAACAGCTTTGTGCAAAACTCAGATGGGAAAACTTTGAGCTACAAGGCCGTGCTTCGAAGTCAGTGTGCAAGAGTTCGACTCTTTCACGAATTTTTCCACGCGGTGGTAGAAACTTCAGGTTCATTGAGCAATCCATAGAAATCACCTCATAAAGCTTCAAGCAATACAGGGTGTTAGAAAACCATTACGCCGCCATCTACAGCTTAAATTATAAATGATGACACAAAGTATTCTATACCAAATTAAAGCTTATAAAAAACCGCGTTTATGAGTGTAATCAGAGCAATTATTGCCTATGAAATTATTGAAATGTCTCGAATGACATGCCAAAATGCACTCTTATTTTACGATTTTCATGTTTCATGTAGATATTTTCACCAAGATAATAGCAGATTCGTAATCTCCATCCAAAACTGTATCTATAGGCATGTCATTTGTATATTTTTAACGAAAACAAATTTCCCGAAAAATATCGTGGAAGGATACCCCGGACAAAAAATTTCGAAACATTTTTTGAATTGAAATATCTCGATTTATAACCAGTCGACGCAGTTTTTGACGGAGATCACAAAGGACAAGTGGCGGTAAGGCCATTTTCTCGCCCAAAACTTTTCTCAAAAAAAATTATATATTCGGAATCAGCATTAAATTCTGAGTAAAATGAGGTACTTTTTGCTGTCCAAAAGTGACTTTCTTTTTTCACGGTTCATCGGGCACCTGCAGGGGACCTCAGGACCATCGAAAAATTTTTTTTCAGAATTTTGGTGAATTTAACATCATCTGATGCGAANGAAAGTTGATTAGAAGTTGCAGTTAGATTTTTTGAGATGTACTTGTCCAGTGACCGCTGTTGTTGTCCTCCAGTGAGGGAAAGTGGTCGACCTGATCTTTCCTGTTCAGTTAATAATCCTGCTGCATTTAAGCGAGCGATAGCACGACAAACAGTTCGGCGATCACAATCCAGTTGATGTGCTATTGTATTGAATGTCTTGTTTGGCTTTTGTGCTCCTTTCACCGCAAATAAGCATTCCTCATGTGCCAAATTTCGAATTTTTTAATGGTTTCTAGTATTTAATCAATTTAAAACAAAAAACTTAAAGAAATAAAAAAGCTGAATATGAGTAACGAAGTATCTAAGAAAAGTATATGTGATAATAATATTATCTTTTTTTAATGTCCTTATAAAGCGTAAAATAAATGATATAGTCAGCGGGCGAAACTTTTGTCGTCGACTATTTATTCAATTTCTTTTCAAATACAAAGAATGATCAAAATAAAATTTAATCTATGAATAGTTTTTTTATTGTTTTATATTTTTTAAGTTGTGAAAAATATGATTGCAAGTGTAACATCAACATTACAAATAATGATATCCGAAGAATATCGTTTGAATAATATGAAACATTATATGTCTAATCTTCAACAATTACATCAATCACGTAATCAATCATTAAATCTACATGCTTTTATTAATGATTTACTTATAATTGTTCAACGTTTACTTGATAATCTTGATAGTCGTCAATGGCAAGCAGCAATAAATAATTGTATTAATGTTCAATGTCCATGGTTTAAATCTTCAAATTTATCTTCAAATAATAAAACATTATTTTGTTCAACAACAAATACATCCATAAATCATTCAAATATCTTATTAAATCGTTGTCTTATATTACCATCTATTGATCATACATATTCATTAAATAATGAACGTCTTTTATTTCAATCAAATTTATACAAAAATAATTTATTAACATCAAGTGATTCATTATTACGTTATATGGATAATAAACTTGAAAATACATATTCATTTAATAATTTATATCAAATCGATACAAGACTATGCCAATTATGTCAAATATATGCTGATAATTTTTCATCAAATATATCTCGTCTTATATCAATTGGTATTAATCAATGGGTACATATTGGTTGTATACTTCCAGCTTATTCAAAAATTCTTGATCAATCACCATATATTTTACATAATATACATGAAACAATAAATCGTTGTCAAACAAAATATAAATGTGATTTATGTTTAAAAATGGGTGCTACTGTTCAATGTTATGAAAATGATTGTAATGTACGTTTTCATTGTCAATGTATTGAAATATATTATTCAAAAATAGATAGAAATTTACAACAAAAATTAAATATTATTAATGGATTATTACCAAATTTAACAACATTATGTTTAAAACATAGTAAACAACAAATAAAAACTAATTCCGATGGAAATAATGATGATCAAATGATAAACAGTATGTAGAACTTTTGTTATTCACCAGATCACTTCAAAAATTCTGGATAATTACCTTATACGAAGTGCATATGTACGTTTAGAGAAAAACATTTTTTTTTCTTCTGAAAGTCGAAATCAGACAAAACAGAATAGTTAATCGAACTTGATAATTAAAAGGTAATACATATTGATCATGTTGGATAGCTTATAGCATGATCGTTAATGTTAGAATATAACGGATGTTCCAAGAACAATGAGCCTCTCTGTGTTTTAATGATATCTCTTTTAATATTCATTTCTTCAGGCTTGGTTTTTCTTTTAAAGATTCGTCTTTTAATCATGTACAAAAGGGTATAACTCTTATCAATGTAAATGACATGTGAAATTTTAAAAGACACACGTCAAACATGAATACTTTTGTGAAAATATTTTTAATTAAGTTATTTTGATCGTATCATACAGTTTCTTTCAACATAATTGATGAAACCTACAAATTTGTCTCATATTGAATACTTCAATGTATTTAAATCTGGTTAATAGTTCTTTAAGATGAAAGAGACGCAGTTGACTTGACACCACTGTCGTGTGAATTGGTCGATGTGAAGCTTCGCACTGCCATCTGGTACAATGTCCGATGTAACGTCGATGATCATTTTCAACCAAGAAACATTAAATTACGCTCAATATATCCAGAATGTTTTTTTTTTCAATACTACAAAAAATATAAAAATTAGATTTTGAAAACATATCGAACATTTTAGCAGACACTAGTGCAAAACTGTAAGTTCATCGACTCATGCAACAGTGTTGTCAAGATAACTTTCTCTCTCATCGTCAAGAACCATCGGTCGTCAAATAGTCAACATGTAAATACAATGAATTATGTAATTTGAGACAAATTTGTAGATTTCATCAACTACGTTGAAAGAAACTTATACAAAAACTGCATAATGCGATCAAAACAATTGAATAAAAAATTATTTTACAAAATCGTTCAAGTTTGACTGTTTGTTTGGTACGTGTCTTATAAAATTACGAATCTTATTTACATTAATAAGAAATATACCGTTTTGTAGATAATTAAAAGAGATATCATTAATATATAGAGAGATTCATTCTTCCTGAGGCATCCGCTTATTCCATATATATCAACAAATATGACTTATATTTAGATGATATCAATCTTCCAAAATTTAAATCTGTTAATTTATCCTCAACTGTCTATGCTGATCTATCAAATACTTTAATCGAATTTTGTTTAACTGATATAAAACTTTGTATTGGTTCTCTACAAATAAAATCCCTTGGTAATTTTGATTATCTTCTTGATAATGATCCTAATATGAATATTTATCCAAATAAATATTATGCATCACGTCTATTTTGGAGTACGAAAAATGCTCGACAAAAAACAATTTATCATTTACATATAGAAATTGAACAAACATATCATAATGATAAATTAAATCATCAAACAATTGAATATCCATTATCAATCGAACAAATACATCTTAAACAATTATATGAAACATGTGAAAAATATTTTAATAAATACAAAACTAAAGATCATTTTCAAAAGAAAATAATTCATTTAAAAAATGAAAATTTAAATAATAAAATTGAAAAATTATCATCGTCTATTAAATGTCAAGCATCAAAATCAATATTAAAAAATATTATTCGACCAAGAAATAGATTTAATATTGAAAATAATCTTCAACCAGATAAATCCTCATCAACTATATCAGAAGAAAATTCTCAAACAATATCCATTGATACGAAAACTTTACGAAATTTATTTACAAATGATTCATTAAAATCATCAGATCATTCTCGATTTGCTTTAGCACTTGTACAAGCTCTTCAAAATGTTGATCAATCATTATCATTAACAAAAATGTATATTACGGAATACTCTTTTTCTTTTCAATCATTTTATTTCTATTTATTTATAGACAACAACAAGAACCTATTTTCAGTTATTATTTACCTCATCAAACAAGTCTTTCATCTCACGAATCAACCATAGAAACGAATAATGATGCATTGTTAGATCAACTATTAAAGAATATAAATCCACCTCAACAATTAAATGGTATGAAAAATTTACAAACGAATGTTTTCAATTGATCAATCACTTTTGATTTCGGACTCACGAGGGAACATTCCCAAGTGATCCGCTCCGTTTTGACTCATTCACATCTCATTCGAAACCGTATATTGAGATAAGAAAAAGCCTAAAAGAATTCGTGTCCATGGTCTACTGGTGAAGAGTTATGACCGTTTTACTGAAATTTTTACTGTGAGCCAGGCATTTAGGGAAAAACCCAAATGAAGAATTTCGACCTGAAATTTTACCTATAGATAGATTTAATAGTCATTAGATAGTCCTGAAAGTTTCAACAAAAACGAACATGCCTTTCTCAAGTTATTCAATTTTCAAAAAACCAGCTGTTTACCATAGGAGGGCACAATAATCCAGTTTAGTTGGACATTGAATATCTCGAGAAAGACAGGTTCGTTGTCGTTGAAACTTTTAGGACTATCTAATGGCTATTAAATCTATCTATAGGTAAAATTTCAGGTCGAAATTCTTCATTTTGGTTTTTCCGGAAATGCCTGGCTCNAAAACGAACATGCCTTTCTCAAGTTATTCAATTTTCAAAAAACCAGCTGTTTACCATAGGAGGGCACAATAATCCAGTTTAGTTGGACATTGAATATCTCGAGAAAGACAGGTTCGTTGTCGTTGAAACTTTTAGGACTATCTAATGGCTATTAAATCTATCTATAGGTAAAATTTCAGGTCGAAATTCTTCATTTTGGTTTTTCCGGAAATGCCTGGCTCACAGTAAAAATTTCAATAAAATGGCCATAAATCTTCACCGGTAGACGATGGGCATGAATCCTTTTAGGTTTTTTCTTATCTCAATACACTCTATCGAATGAGGTATGAATGAATCAAAAGGGAGCCGATCACTTGGGAATGTTCCCTCGTCAGTGCATAAATTAGACTGCTGTGTATGCTGTAGTACTTACATAGAAATCTGTTTGTCGGTAGAACGCTCTGAAAATTTTAGCATCTTTCATGGGATATGAGTGATTTTTCAGACTTTAATATCTCGGGAATATAACATTCTTTTGAGCTGAAATTTTCAGTGTTCTAATAACAAATAGACTTGCATGTACTATACCATAGGCTAAAATTTCAGTAAAACACCTATAACTCTAGACAGAAACTTTTCAGGAATTCATCTGTTTGAGGTTTTTCATACCTTACTGGACTCTACCTTATGTATAGAATCTGAACTCAAAAGCAATTAATCAGTTGAAAACGTTCCCTCGCTGAAGAGAATGAATAAAATAAAAGATCAGGTTAAGGTGTACTTACTGATTAGAACTATGTTGATCCTATGATATGATTTTTCTCAAAAGGATCTATCTAATAGATTCAGTTGAAAATATAAATAAATATAGCTAATTATATGAATAATACCTTTAAAAAAATGATTATCTCTCTTAAGATTCTCAATTCTCATCTCAATTATGGTCAACATCGACTATTAACACTCACAGTAACTCAACAGAAACATATATTCCACAAATAGATGGAAATATCGATAATGATGATGAAGATCTTCTAATTTCTTCTTGTCTAATAAATTCTTTAATTGAACAAATAGTAAATGAAAAACCTACTCGTAACGGTAATGAACATTCAATTGATTTCTCTCATTTTTCATCTAATAATATTAATTCAAAAATAAAATCAATATCTTCTGATAAACTAATTCATTATTATCAACAATGGTTAATATCAAAATTTGGTCGTATAAAATTTACCATTCTTAGTGATGATGGATATAAAATTGTGTCAGATAATTTAGATGATGCTTGGTTAACAATTGTTAATTTAGTACGTGAGTGTCGTGATGATATGAATTTAACACATCTACCTATGAGAAATGAAGAATTAAATGGACATGAAATATTTGGTTTAAAAAAATCAATTGTTAAAATAATGTTAAATCAAATTTATATGAATTCATTATCAACAGAAAAGCAAACAGATACAATTATATTACCATTATCATCATCAAATAAAAATGATTCAATATGTTTTTTAAAGAAAAAAAATTCAAATAAAAAAATCTTATCATCAAATTCAAGATTAAATATTTATCAAAGAAAAAATTCTCAACGTCAAAGATTTAATTGGTTATTAAATCCAAATCGAAAAATTGAATATGCATTAAAATCATTCGAAATTGATGATGCACTTGCACATGCAAGGTAAACTATCGAAGATTTAAATTTATTGACAAAAATTCAATCGTATTTAAGTGACATCAGCTAAATCCTCGCTGAGAATAATAAGCCATGCTCTTCTATTATAGAAATTAGCATCGTTCCTTCACGGGTGGCTTCCTATTTCGAACTTTTATTTTTCTAACATTCTTCTAAGAAATCAAGGGTTTTTTTTTAAATTCTTCTGGTACTCAAACAGGCGTTTTTAGCAACGAAGTGAAGGAAAATCAGGACTTTCACTAAGAAAAACACTTTTTTTTTTACTAGAAGAATCGAGAAAAAAACAGCAGACTCCAAGACTTCAACATTAACATATCTACTATTTCCATCTCAATGAAAATTTTGATTTTAACTTTAAAGAAACGATATTTTACTCAGAAGCCGAGTTTTTAGGTGTTAAACCTGCTGTTTTTCCAAAAGACGCTTTTGAAAAACTCATAATCTTCTATTATGTTTTGTGAAATTTTGTGAAACAAGATCTAAAAGGAGTGTCAAGTATACAGAGTAGAAACTTGCACCAATCTTCTCCCCACAGACTATTACAAACGAAATAGCACAGATATTAGAAACGACTCATGGCAGACATCTTAGCAATACTATCCCCGTCCTCTGCTCCCCCTTCCATAACAGGTTGCGACAAACGTTATTAATACATGATCACAAACTCTATACGAATAGCACGTCTTTCTAATATATGAACTATTTTCTTATTGTACTTCCGGAGGATTAAGAAAAAGGATGATTAATAAACGTGTCCTAAAATAGACAAAGTAGAATAATCTTCTTGTGATTAGTAACAACAACTATATCGTGTTTCACATTTTAGTTCTGTACAAATTTCGGTCATAGTTTTTTCCTATTGGTGAACTTTTATTCTAGAAGAACAGAGAATGTTAAAATATATTCGTCTTTGAATTCAAATTTTATTGACTTATACATAATCAAGTTCTTGTATTCTTTTCCTTTTTTTTTTTTTTATAAAGACGAATTCTTCTTGAAGAATCTTCGGTTAGTTTACGTCTTTATCATTTGCATTATTTTGCTCAACGTACGTTAATTGTTGGATCATCATCTATACATGGTTGTGGTTTATTTACATTAATTGATTTAATTGAAGGACAAATGATTATTGAATATACAGGTGAAGTTGTTCGTCCATGTCTTACGGATAAACGTGAACGTGAAAATGAAAAAAAAGTAAAATGTCACAAAAAATATCAAAATAATAAAAATTGTAATTTAGACTTTCTTTTCTTATAGGGCATTGGTTGTTATATGTTTACTGTTGATTCAATGAGTGTTATTGATGCTACACATCAAGGAAATAAAGCTCGTTTTATAAATCATAATTGTCAGGTAAGATAACAATTGATCGATTTCATATAAATGAATTTATTTTTCTAGCCAAATTGTTTTGCAAAAACTGTTCTATCCGGTGGTATTAAACATATTGTTATTTATGCTCTGATAAATATAGCTCGTGGTTCTGAATTAACTTACGACTATTCATTTCCTGAAGAAGATATCAAAATTCCTTGTCATTGTGGTACAAATAAATGTCGAATTTATTTGAACTAACGCCATATATATGTATATTTTTGTATTCCTAGTCATGTTTTCGTATTTTGCATGATATGACCGTTTGTATGTGTGTCTTTTGGATAAGTTTTATAGAAATAGATAAATAAAGGATATGTTCCTAATTTTAGTTACTTTTCAATTTGATCAATCATATATTAGTACAGAAATTGGTCAACAATAAGACAATCGATGAGTTTCATGATCTTCACAATGTTTTTCGTCAGCAAAACCTATATAAACAATCTATTTAAAAATAAATATAAAAGAAAGATATGAAGTACCAGCAGAAACAGCTTCAATTATAAGAAATATTACACCATCTATAGCAAGACCTAAGTAAACTTTTTTCCATTCTAATAATGCGAAAAAGTCAATAGGGTGTGGATGTGGATGTGGATGTGGGTGGGTGAGTGTCGTAGTTGGGGTAGAATGTGGATCTGGGAAAATCTAGATCATAACATCCATATCCCACACCCACATCCACTTATATGCGTGGATGTGGCTTCAAGGGCATTCTTTATTTTTCGGATTCTTATTTGTATATCTATGCATTTTCGAAAAGTGTCCGCTGTCGTGAATAACTAACAATAACTAGCAGACATTGCATGTTGTTAAGGTGCTTTGCTTTGTGTATCACATGTTGAAATGACATGGAAAAAGAAGATTTTGGAATTTCATAAGCAACACAACAGCGAATCAACCAACACTCATCTCGGTGTCTATAAACTACGCAAACAGTTTCACAAAGCATTTTGTTTTCTCAGCGAAAGCAATTTCACTGTATGTCATTATCAGTGCCCGGTGTGACCGTCGTGACTACCAGTGAGTCACGGTCACTGCCGTGACCGTGCGTGACTTTTTCAAAGATTGTGACCGTGATTGGAGCTTGGTCACGGTCAGTCACGGGAACTTTTTCGAAATTTTGGAAACCCCTGATGGGGAGTAGGGGAGCCTTCGCGAAGCTACCCTCTCCGACCATCACTTCTAATAGTTAGCAGAACCCTAGTCTCAATCCTGTTCATTCCTTGAGAAATTTTGCAAGGATCTGTCAGGATCCTGAATCTCCAAGATCTTGTTAAGTTTTGGGTGTAGGGTCCCGACTCAATTCCTGCTATCAGGATTTCTCACAGTTATACAGGATCCTATTTAGGATTTCTTTCCGTTCCTGGCCAAATGTGTTTGTAGATAATGAATACAGGATCCTTCAAGGATTCATTCATGATCCTGCTTAGGGTCCTAACAGGAATAATGGAGAGGATTCTCTCAAGATTTTATCAAATTTTAGACAAGATCTGATACAGATCTTGGTACAACGACCCAGTCAACTTTTGCAGCTAAAACTGAGGAGCGTCGCAACAAAAGGCGAACAAGAGAGTATATCAGTGGCTGTTCTTGTCAGTTAATACAAGTAGAACTTCTGTTCATACCCACAACCACATCTTGTTTTCTAAATTATTCCAAGTTCAACAACAATGGTAACCTGTTCAGGATCCTGATGTAATCCTTTTTCGAATTCTGCTAGGATCTTGAAGTTCCGTGGCGACACACTTCTTTCAGAATTTCGTCGTTTTCTCAGGAACAAATAGCGAATCTTGGAAGGATCCTGACTGAATCCATAAAGGACCTGGCACGGAAACATCAAAAATTTTCCCTAGGGAAACTTTGCTATAGCTCTTTCTGGAAAGTTTTTTTTCATGTTGAGAAACCAGAAAGAAGGGCCGTGACCGTGACGTGACCAAAAAAAGTTGGTCCCGCCGGGCACTAGTAATTACTCAACAGTTTACAGCATTGACGGAGGCTGACTATTGCTGATAGCAGTCAGAGCTTGGTCAGAGATAGAGTAACTACTAGAAGTAGAAAAAATCAATTGATGATTGTTGTACAGGTGCCTGTGTTCCAGCCACAACTAATCCTTTTGCTCTGTGACGCTCGTTGATACGAATAATGAAAACTCACCTCAATTGTAACCTTCATGCGACTATTTCTCTAATAATATCCAATGCAGTGATTTACTTCAAAATGGTTCTCGAATTTCGTATTGTTCGATTGTGTCTATAGCCGTAGAAACTGACAAAATCGATGTCGCGCTCATGCTACGTGTTGATAGAAATCCAGCATGTACTATGGCTACGAGTATCGATGGAACCATTGGCACTAGTGAGTGTAGGTATAGGTGAAGAGAAGACCCACACCCGAATTCACACACACATCGATACCCGCATTCCACACCCACACTCCTACCCTTTTCTTTTCAACCTTAGTTTGCTCTTCATCCGTTTTCATCTGTACATTTACTTAAGTGCTGTTGCGATGGATACTTTATTTCATACATGTTTTTTTCTGTTTTCATTCAAGTCTTTCTGAATGAAATTTTTCTTTTTTTCGTAAGAACCAAAAAAATCAAACAAAAAAACATCTTCAGTTCAATTTTATTGTCATTGTGTTACTGGTAAATAAATTGATTATATGAACAAAATAACAAAAGAATTTAATTAAATTTTCAATGAAGTAACAACCGTAATCTTAACATCAATGATCTGAAGTTCGTTACAGATAAATCAAAACAACAAACAAAATTTTTTTCAATTATATTTTCAAATTTTAGTTATATAAGTATTGAAATGAAGTAGTACAACATGAAAGTTTTTTTATCAATTTGATTACTGTTTTTCACGTGTATGAAAAAAACATCATGTCACAGGCACTGCCCCAAGTTGCATCACAAGGGTGACAGACACAAATGTTCATGACAGTGTATTCTTAAAGCGGTCTTAGTACGAATTCAAACTATTATTTACAAGAAAATTAGAGTTTGTCTTCGTTGTTATTTCAATAGGGTAATATTCATGTAAATCAACATTGGAATCTTAGTTTGTAGCCTCATTTGCAAATGACACCTTGAAAACAATCCATATAAACGTGAAAAATAATGAAAATTTTCTTAATTGCAAATATTTCTCATCAAAGATATATATTCATATAAAAAGTGATGTATTTGTTCTTTGTAATATATTTTTCTTGGATTGACGAACTAAACACATTCTCACAATAAACTATTGACGTTGAACAGATGAATCATTTTTTTGCTGCAAGATTGTAAAAGCAAAATGCACAATCACATGATTCTGATAGGCTTCTCTTGCGAAGGAAAAAGTACATTAACATATTGTTTCCATTGTTTTTCTTCCTTGGCTTTTGGTTTCTTTTGTCGATGTCCTCGAATTTCATCACGGACACCTATTTACTAGCACCTGTCTCTGTCCGTTTATCGAATTGCCGAGGATTTGATTCAATAAAAATAAGTTAAAATTCAAGACAAAAATATTGATTACATTTCATCTAAGTTCAGTTCTCTATGTAGATAATGATTCACATTTATCTAATATCACTCTATAGTTGATTCAAGTCTAGGATGTGGTTTTGGGTGTGGGTGCCGGTGTTCATGTGGGTATGAATGTGAGTGTGGGTGTGAGTATGATTATGGGAGACGGTTTCTTCTCTTTCCCCACATGAACATCCACCCACACCCACTTTGGAATAGAAGAGATCCTTATGTTTTCTACAATTACATTACAAGATACGTACGCATGAAAAAATAAAGGATGAGCAAGACTTTTTCTCTTGAGAACAAGAAGTCAGAAGCATCAACGTGATCTTTCCTGTGATCTCAGTCGTGTAACAGCAATATTCTCTCGACATGTAACTGAATCAACTAAAAATCAGAATATTGTTTATGAGTACGGAGGCTTGTCTTTTTTTTTCGGAATTAATATAAAAAGTGAAAGTCAGCATAGATTAAAACAAAATAGAACAAATAAAATGAAAAAAACTGTATGGGTACAAGATTCACTGATAAATAGAAGAGCATAGGAGATTCAAGAGAATTTGAAAAATCAATCTTACATGAAAAATACGAAAATGAGATAGAACAACACGTAGACGAGACGGTCGAAGAGATAAAGAGTATTTTCTTGAATAGATAGTTAATAGGACGAATTGTTGAAAAGAAACGCGTTCGAAAGTAGAGATTTCATAGTCTTATGGTTAGAATTGTGCCCGGTTTCGTTCATGAGGTTGTGCATGATGGCCTATTTTCCACATGCAATACCTCTTCCGAGTTTAACTACACCATTACAACAACTGTAGAACGATGGATTGTAGGCTTTCTTGCCACAACACCATTGTCTACTTCCTAAAGACAGTACACCATTGCAGCAAGTGTAGAACGATGGATTGTAGGCTTTTGTGCCGCAACACCATTGTCTACTTCCTAAAGCCAGTGCACCATTGCAGCAAGTGTAGAACGATGGATTGTAGGCTTTCGTGCCACAACACCATTGTCTACTTCCTAAAGCCAGTGCACCATTGCAGCAAGTGTAGAACGATGGATTGTAGGCTTTCGTGCCACAACACGATTGTCCACTTCCTAAAGACAGTACACCATTGCAGAAAGGTTGAAATGATGGAGTGTGGGGTGGACAGGCAGCGTGTTGAGCACTTGACCAAGAAGAAATGGTAAGTATGAAAAGTAGAGCTAATGTTGCAGATGACATATGCATTTATTTGACTTGAGAAAAATAAAATATATAATTGTGATTCTGCTAACCTTATATTCGGTGGTATATATAAGGTCTGAGTAAAGACAAAGAATGACGGAGACGAAGATTCATATTTGTATGAAGAAAAAAAAACAAACTACGACATTTTTAAGGAAGTGCGTGATTTTTTGATCAAGAAAAATAGTTTTATTACTAATTACGTTACGATTTATGAGACAAAGATACAAGTCATGAATCATATAGGTATTCGATGACGTATAATAAGTATGAAGAACAATTGATCCAGGACCAAAACAATGAAACGAAAAAGTAAGGTAAAAACGTCAGCTGAAATCACTGAGGATATATCATTTGCCTAATTCGATGATACTGATTCTGAGCAAACTATCAATCAATGTTTAGATAAAATTCTTTCATTTATTCAAGAACATTTTGCTACGAGTGAATATAATTATTTCCGACAAAGTTGGCATCATCGAATGAGAGACAAATGGTATATATCCTCAGTGATTTCTTCAGCACAAAATCAACATTGTGCCAAAGCAGAACAATATACCAAATGTTCCAAAATTCTGGCCCATACAAAAATTTTGTTTAAGGTTTCTTGATAAAATGCATGACAATCATTGAGTCACACAAATAAAGTTATAATTTAAAAAGGATTTTATTATAAATTAAAATATAGGTAACATTATTATTGTCCAGACGCAAAAAATGCACCTTGGAACAAACTTAGGAATATGGATAGATAAAAAACCATTTTCGATTTCTTCATTATATAATTTTATAGGGTCATAGTCTGCATATTTTGTATAAAAAAAATCAGGAACAAAGCACGAATAGAACAAGAGAAATATTAATTTCAATTTTGTCGGAAAACTTTTCGATCACTCGTTATGGCAGCAAAGAAACTGTTTATAGACTCTAAAGTTAATAAGTAATATCACGTTCGTCTGAACATCTTCTGTCGACTCTTGCATAGAAATAGTAGCCATATCATTTTTGGTGAGTCATTCTATTTTTACATTGCCTCATTTACCTGTTTTTTATGATGACTATTAATACAGGAACCAGTTGGGATATGAGTGTGAGTGTAGTTAAAAGGAGCCCTCACATCCACATATGGACGAATATTTAGCATCATTTTCGTTATTCTTGTCATTCTCTGGAATGAAGTAGTGTCATCCAATTAGACAATTAATATCTTTACTCGAAGCATGTTGAATAAAATAAGTTAATATTCGTTTGAAGATTCTTTCTTCTTTTTTTTTTATAACGAAATGAATGTTGATTGATTTAGTTTAGCTTAGTTATACATCAAAGCAATGTAACCATAATTTATTAATCTTGATAAAGAGATATTATTCAAATGAAGCGGGAGTTAAAACATTGAACACAAATAGATTTAAGACAAGTAGAAAAATACACGAGTATTAAAAATACAGATCAAAGAATGATATAACTATGATATGCACACATTTCTTGAAAGTTTTACATAGTCTTCGTGGTTTAAGCAAGAAATCGTTAAAAATGATTTCAACAAGTCCATAATTAATATTTAAAATAGTAATCAATTAGAGTTCATTTATTATGACCGATGACTTCTTGTTGTATATTCAATAGATCACAATAAAAAGCAATATAATACAAGAAATTTAAAGTCACTTGTAGTAATAAAAACACCAATTACATTTAATTAGTCAAACGAACGATGATATTTATGTATTAAAATCAAAACAAAAAAGTTATGCTTTACGATTTTTTCCATCACCGAAATGAAAATGTTAAGCAATATATATTAATGGCTATCACG